AGAGAGAGAGAGAGAGAGAGAGAGAGAGAGAGAGAGAGAGAGAGAGAGAGAGAGAGAGAGAGAGAGACAGACAGACAGACAGACAGACAGACAAAGAGAGAGAGAGAGAGACAGAGAGACAGAGAGACAGAGAGAAGGAAAGAGACACAGACACACACACACACACACACACACACAGGGAGAGAGAGGATCGGGCGGAATTTCTGGACCGTTCTCATCGTCGATCCTGGAGAGGTGCGAAGCGTGCAATACTCCAGGTAGATGAAACATTCAAGAGTGTGAGTTGGGTTATATGGAGAGAGAGGTGGCTGATCAGTGGTTGATCAGGTGTTCCACTTGTTTTATGAGATGACATTAGGGCATATGGGTGCAAATGGAAATGCCAATAGGGTCAATTCAATTGTTTCCAGGCTGGCTGGTTTGACTAATAGGATAGTAGTTTGAGCACGGGATTTTGATCGATAACTTTCTGTGAAATTTCTATACTTGTCATGGCCAGGACGAACTCCTATATCCTGTCAGGGAAGGCATGATTTCTTCTTTCCCCCTTTTTTTTTTTGTGTGTGTGTGGGGGGGGGGCGGGGAGGAAGGAAGGTATGATGTGAATACAACCAAAGATGGGACCACTCTCAACTTGCCGTGCTGACGAGTAATCCCTTGGCATGTTTTTGTGTGTGCAGAGGACGAGCAATTTGAAGAAGAGAAGGAGTTGTTGATGCGGGAGATTGAACACTTACCAGCACCCTCACCCTAGCTTGTGGAGCTGAGGTTGTTGCATGCCAACTTCATCCTGCTATTCTTCTTTGTCCCTGATTCTCTTATCTTCGAAGTCTTTATTGACGAACACCGTGGACTCGCCACGGAGATGTTGAGCTCAACAGCGAGACACCTGGCCAACCGTACTCGGTCTGAGCTCTGCATCCAGTGCCTTATCATTCCATGCGAATGAAATCTTGTACAGGACCCTACAGGTCAGGAATGCACATGATTGCAGCAGTCTGTGACAGGCATTCCCATTGTATCGATTGCATCAAACTCCACATCGTCTTTTGACCATGGTAGACTGGAACGAGGTACGTGGACTCTTGTGAAGGGAGCATGACCACAATAGGAACCCCCCTACCCCGCCGCCCCCCCGCTACGAGCTTGTTTAATTGTGCTTCGATCTGCAGGTTGGTGTTTCGGAATTTCTGGCAGAGACCGTTTAACTGTGCACGAACCGCACGGGAGTTGTATGCGAGTATATCATTTGGGAATTTCTGGAAGACCTGTTTGATTGTACGCAAGTCGTATACGATTTTGAGAGTCGTATGCGATTTTGAGAGTTGTATGCGATTGTCATTTGAGAATTTCTGGCAGACCTGTCTGATTTGACGCGAGCCGTATGCGATTTGATCTCCAGGTGGTTGTTTAAGCATTTCCGGCAGACCTGTTTTAGCTGCACAGGGATCGTCTTTCCGGCAGACCTGTTTAATTGTGCATTAACCGGATGCGATTCGATCTCTAGGTTGTTGTGTGAGAATATCTGGTGGATCTTTGTGATCATACACAAATCGACCGCGACTTGATCTCCTGGATTTGTTGTTTGACAAATTCTGGCACGCCTGAAACAGGGGCGTCTGCAATCATGCGCCTTGCCGAGAGCACAAGCCTGGCAGGAGTGTTCAGTTGTGGGCTGTGGGGGACTGTTAAATTGTGGTCTATGCTACCTTTAACAGAAGGACACTGTAGCATCTGCTGGGTGTTGAGATGGGCTATCGACTCTTTTTCAAGTCTCCTTCTCTAGTAGTACTGGAAAGTCTTTATATATATATACATATATATATATATATATTATATATATATCATGATGGAAAAGATTTAGTTCTAGTAAGCATGCCCTGCCTAGCGTTTTCCATGCCAGCCAGCATTGATGGATGCTGTGGCCGACATCCACACATTAGAGCATGGGCGCGGCCGCTGTTCATCTTGGCAGTGTTGATGTTGTGAAACTTTCCAGTTTCGGGATGACCTGCTCCAGTCCGTTTTAGGAATATCCCCGGGTGACTAAGGTGTCGTTGACACTTACTGTGTTTCTTTGCTCTCTCTCTCTCTCTCTCTCTCTCTCTCTCTCTCTCTCTCTCTCTCTCTCTCTCTCTCTCTCTCTCTCTCTCTCTCTCTCTCTC